CTTAAGAAAACAGGAAATATGTTTCAAGTGATAAAAATGTTGTCTTTGAAGACTAGGATAGAATCGTGGCCAATTCCACAGGACACTGAAACAGAGTTTGCTTTGGAAGAGCTCTGCTCACAGGGAGAAGCTTTCACAGCAGTTGTGTTGCCTTCCCACCAGCAAGGACATTAACAAGATTATTAGCTGACCACTTGTCTTGGGCTTCTAGAAACCAATCTTGTAGGACTGACCCCTCTGTACGGCCCAAATTTCAAGTAGGTTCAAAAGTCAGAAGAAAAAACAAATGAGCAATGTGAATGTAAACTTTGTTTCCATAGGAAACCAGGCTAATAAAAATCACCTGAAGATTGAGAAAGCTTCTGAATTGTTGAGAAGTTGAGCAACTCAGGTTTCACAAAAGATTGACTAACTACCTTTCCTAAAGGATCTCGCTGTCCCCTTCCCAACCCTCTCTTGCAGGTTACAGATCTAAGTGACTGCTGAGATGACTAGAGCAGCAAACCATTCATATGATCCACTGGTACAGCAGCTTGGGATCCAACAAAAAACCAACTAATTTCTTGATAGGAAACCGACCATTCAAGAGGTTTGAGCAACACAGGCAGAAGGATTTCATTGCTGACACCTGGACTAAAAGGCTCCCTCTCCAAAAACACTCAAGATGTTTTCTGAAGCGAGGCAGAGTTAAAGCCAACCTAGTGCAAGGCTACTGTGAGGAGGGGAGGAGTGCCATATCTGGTACAACACACATTAATAATTTGATGTTAATGAGCCTTATTCTTAATTATGGTAATTTATTTGGCCACTCAGCAGATATAGGCAAGTTTAATATTAGACTCAAATGACCTGTTTAAAGAATGCACAGGCCATAGGACACTGCACTGCAGCTGGATGAGATAATGAGCTTAAAAAGTCGCTTCTGAAGGTACATGGGACACAAATAGCTTCTTCACTAGCAGGAAGAAACACCTGCGTTCTCTACATCATGCTGCCATGCCCACAGGCTCTTCAGAAAAAACTGCTAAACCTTCACCTAATCCACAGGCTCCAAAACACAAGAGAACAAAATTGCCAGAACCCAGTGGGACAAAACAGCTCTGTTTGATCCATCTCAGAAACACATCCAAGACGGTCAATTCAAGCATTAATCCCAAATTCATTAATCTGCAAGAAAAAGCCTGTTCATACACTGAACACTTACTACTGTGAGTCAGACAGCAAAGCCTAAAGCTTTCCAAATTGCTCCCTGAGAGCTCCCTCCTCCTCCTCCTCCATCAGTGGCCACATGCAACTCATGCATCACCATGACCTTTTGCACCGAGAATGATCGACAGTAACCTCTCCACTGGCAGATAACAACCCCTTTCTAAGATCAGCACTACCAAACAGCCTTACTCACACCAAACAGATATGCCACGTTGCTTGTTTGCAGGTCAGCCTCCAGAGACACTTCTAATCCTCTCCTGATTTCTGGGGAAACAAGGACAGACCCCAAACCCACCATTTTACTGTTCTGAATGACTAATCTGAGCCTTTCAGGGAACTCAGATGCACACTTAGGATCCCTGTCCTCTCTAACCTTTTAAGATCTGCCCCTGCAGTTTCTATTCTGCCCCTTCCAGGTGAGTTTTTGTCCAACCAGTACTTTCTGATACCAATATCCCATTAGGCAGAACAGTTCTGTATTTATGTATCTCCAGCTGAAAACATGTAAGACTAATCTCATTAAGGAGATCTGGCTTTTGACAGGGGATTATTGCCACCCAGATCATCTGCTGACTCTATGCCAGGACCAAATTAGTTGTTTAATTACAACACTGGAGCCAATTCAAGGAGAAGTGATATATCAGACTGAAGTTCAGCTACTCTGCTGAAGTGAAATTACAGGCTGACAAATTACAAAATAGAAACAATAGTGCTATAAAATTGGGTGTACCTGAGTGCAAACTCTTCACTCCTGGAAGCCAAGCAAGGAGACAGCCTTCAGAATGATGAGGCAAGAGAAAAAGTAACCTCAGCTATACCAGTGGAAGAGTCAGACCTAATGTAGCTCTAAAGCCAATACATGTATTAAAATTATTCCTCTAAGCAATTTAGTATCAGCCAAAGCATTTGAGTTAATGAAGAAAGGGTTAGAGGTCCAGAAGTTTCTGCAGAAAGTTCACACACTTCTGGAAACCATTCAGTGGGCCCTTGACACATGAACTCTTCAGTGAAAAAGCAGATTGTGCTTGCTATAATCAGAGAGGATCAAGGGTGGGTAATCAGGGCAGTGATTTAGCTTTTCTACAGAAGTAACTGCCACAAAGATACTCCAATATTTACTTGCATATATTCTTGACCTGGCTGGAATCCCTTGACTGCAAGAAACATGCATCTTGTGTAAAAATTCTCCCCAACACCCAGCGTTAAGATGCTACAGCACAAAAAGGCTGTTGCCAGACAAGCAGATCATGAGCAACACGCTGCCTTTGTACACAGCAGCACTAATGCCTTAGAAACAGCCATTCAGACTGAAGAGCCAGGACAAAAGAAGGAGAAAAAACATCTATGGCTGCTTCTTTGGAGAAATTCCTCCCACCTCAGCCGTGCTTTCATAGAAAGGGCCGCTATGAAGAGGCCACAACACCAACACGTGAACACTTCAACTTCCTAAAGCTGCACCGTTTGGGTCACAGAGGTGCTGATTTAACCCCCTGGTACAGAGGAACTCCTCACCAGAGGGATGCATCTTCCTCCCATGCCTCAAGGTAGCAGACTCATGATTCCTACCTCCCTGTGTTGTCCCCATCACCGTGCTGAGCAAAGAGCCTACAGAAACCAGTGACACTTTGTGACACCTCTGCTCAACCGGCAGCAACGTCGGCAGGCAAGATGCACCTGCTCTTAACTAACCAGGATCCCTCCCTGCTGTCCTTCACAGCAGTTCGTACAGGATTAAAAATCCACACTGCACTGCTCCAAACCAACCCAGCAGGCACAGGGACACACAGGAAGGCTCAGTACACTTTCAGTAGATCCACCCCAGGATGTTTACTTGCTCCACACTCACAGCATCTCACCTCCAGTGATGTTTTGCCACATCTCAGAGGTGCTGAAAGGAAAGACCTTTAAAGACAGGCACACCCACCTATTAAGCACTAATTATCACTGCTATATTTATTGCTCATCCAAAACCTCGCAAGAACTCAAATTCATTCATAACAGTTAAGGAGTTACCGTACATAAAAGAGGTTAAAAAGGTACTAGCCTACTCCTAAACCCATCATGACTGTTTTTCAGTAGCCACCAACTCCCTGCAATTTTCCAAGACAGTTCCATTTGACAGACCCAGTTAAAATTACTGTACTACCATCAGCTTAAAATCCCAGTTCCCCAGGCAGTTTGTGGGATGACTGTCTCTCCAATGTATTATTTGCAAAAAGAAACCTAACTTGTCATAAACTTAAACTTGCTCCAACTCCTGTTTCAGCTGAAAGGAGTACTATGAAATAGTGACAATATTCAGAAGCATATCAGTAAGAATTATGTCCTTGAGTCAGTGCCATCAGTGTTTTGGAGCTTATACTCACGTGGCACATTGTGATAAACTACTTTAGCTATTTGCTTAATCTGTGTCCCAAAGAGAAAGGAAACAAGCTGCAGTTTCATTGCTGACCACTGGGCTGGAACGTGGTACAGCATAAACCAGGAATTACAGACAGTCACAGAGTCCACAGGCAAAACCACCCACTGTGCCACACAACTGTCCCTGCAACCCAAGGGACAGGGCATGGCAGCAGTGACCCTTCCACAAAGCCAACGACAAGCCACATAACTTTTAAGGTGACCACAAAACAAATGAATACAAACACAACTGTTTATTGTTCTGTTTTCTGGCAGCCCAGGTTGAGACTGGATAGAAGGGAGCTGTCCTGACACCACCAGAACCCCAGAGGAGCTGAGAATCATTCCATGTGCCATCCTACCCCCACCTGTCTGTCAGGTATGTTGAACGTCATGTTGTTTAATCTTTAAAAGTCTCATACTTAAAGCTTGTAAAGGAAGTGAGATGAAGTCCCAGAAAATACATTTACCAGGATTACTCAAAAGTGCTGCCAAGAGACATTTGCACCACTTACAGCATTAATGCATCCCCTCCTCCTCTGACAATTAATCACGTTTTCAGATCCCTGCAAGCACTGCAGCACAGCTCCCTAGGGAAAGTTCTGCAGGTCAGCACTCCAAACAACCCACACCTGCTGAAGGGGTGCAGCTGCTACACAGGGAGCTCCACCAGAGAGGAGAAAAACAAAATGAAGGAGCAAAGAGGCCAGAGCCATGAGCTAGGAGGGACACCTTAGAGATCACATGCCAGAGGTGCAGCTGGTCCCAAACCAGTGAGTCTCACCATTGCTTGAGTTTTGAAACAGCCTCTCGCTCTCAGGTCTCCTCTGTGTTTCTTCACTCTCAGGGGTCTTGCAGGGTGCAGTGGAGCCAGGCTGGCGTTTCCTCACACAGTCGTCACCTGCCATGGTTACCCAGCTAGGCCAGAAAACGAGAGCAGATAATTAATGACAGAAGAAACTCATTAACTCTTTACATTGCTCAGTAGTAAATTCACATAGCCTTTTGCACACCGAGTTTCTTCCCTCCATTACAAATTCAGAGCACGGATGGAGGAAATTCAGCACGCTCGTGTGAGTCAGTGCCTGTGGATCCCACTTCCCCTGCCTTACTACAAGCAGTAAAGGAACAAAGTAACCAAGCAAGTTCCCCCACAACTACCAAAACGTCTCCCCACAGCTCCCCCTTCTCCCTGCAGACCTTAGAAGTGTTTACAGTAACTTAAGCCTTTGCAAAACTTTTAAAAGACCAAAAAGCAAATCCTTTCTGACTGTCAGCTGGACAGCAGGACTTGCCTTCTGAGAGATCTGGCAGGTTTGCTTTGCCAAATCACCAGCAGTATTTTGCCTGAGCCAAGCACCTTCCTGTGAAGTTTTCAGTTGTTATTGCAAGAGCAGCTTCCTCAGGGGATCCTTGTGCTCTGCTTGGACAGACAACACAAACCACAGGGAAACAGGAAGAGAATCATGTTTGAACTGCACCAGATTGGATGACAAAGGTCGCTGCTGGGGACAGAGCTGCCAGCAGGGAACACCTGAAGCACTGCAAGCAGGATGAAAACAAAATTATCAGTTAACAAGAAGGGCGCAAAGAGATTCTACTTTGGTTACCAAGCAACATCCCAGGACACTCCACATGAAAATTCGGCTCAAGAATCTCTTGGAGATGTAGCTACAACCAGGGAAAACGTTCAGATTTTTTCCCAGAAAACCACACAGGCATGTATGTGACTACATTTCCAAACTCAATGCATTTTTTCACCTTGGCACAAACTCTGCAGCAGATGTGTTTGGCTGCTGGTGAACAGTGTACGTGCACCAGTACAGAGGAGCTGTTACAGGCAGGCAAGGAAAACTCATGCACTTGTGGAAAAATAAATTGTTTCAGCATGGATTTCCTCAGAATACAGAGCATGGCACTTCTGCAAAAGGGAAGTAAGTCTATGATCAGAGGTTTCCAGGACTCAGCTTCCTGTGTTTGCCCCTCTAGTAGAACAGTCTCCTATTCTCCTTGCAGGCCTCACAGCACACAGGGGAGAAACACCACCACCAATCAAAGTCACTAATTCAATCACCATTTCTTGCAGCACTGCCCCTCTCAGCTGTGTCTCAAGAGGTCTCAAGCTGCAGAGCTGGCTCTGCACACCACCTGAGAGCTCACGTTGTCATCATTTACATAATGCAAACAGAGCTTACACGAAGAACAGAAAGAACCAGACAAGAACACGGCAAATCTTCCTACAGTAACTGTGTTCACCAGCCCCAAAAGGCAGCTGGCAGGTCATACCCACTTCCTACCAGCTCTTTACAAGTTACTGCTGCAAACCCCCTGCTTTTAAAAGTGAATCAGTCCCCATCAGGAACACCTGACTCCTCACACTTCCCAGGCTTCCCACAAGGTTCCAAGTACAGACACAGCTGCATCATGTTGGAGCAAAGAATCATTTTGCCCACCTGGGACTTACAACTAGGCAGCTAAACATTCCAATCTGTGTGTTCTTACATGGCAGAGATGCCCAAACCCCTATCAAAGGGTAAGAAAGGATCACTCTGATCACGCAACAGGATCTGCAGAGCAGTGGATGGGCCAATCGAGCTGCCTTCCAAATTCATGCACCAACAAGCTACTCCTTGGGCCACCTGGAGCCTCTCACTGCCTCCTGATCCTTACAGGTGCAGGTTTTCCAGCTCTAACAGGGGACTACAACTTTAATTCTTTTCTCAGCACACTTTCCGTCTTCTTCAAGAGGTGAGGAAGTGCAGGGTGGTTATAGTGTTTCACTGGAAGGTTAACAGAAAGGAGTTAAAAAAATAACAGATTTCAGGATAGGAGAAGGAAAAATCATGTGGGGGGAAGAAAAAAGTTAAGCAACTCGAAGTTATTAATTCAGATAGGCTAAGTGATGACAACAAAGCCTTTTTCACACCAAAACAAGAACTTTGCTAGAGAAAAATCTATGAAAACAGACATTTTCACAGTCTACTTCCCATATGAATGGAGGTGTAACATTATAGTACCTAAGCAACTATCAGCACATCAGATCCTAAAGAGGGCATCAGACCTTTCCTCTAATCTCTGCTAGAACTGAATCATTCGCGACACAATGCCAGGATAACTCCAGATGTTCATCTCCTCAACAAGAGGAAATTGCTCCTCACAATTAGTTAACAGTCACTCCACCCCACTCCGAGCACTTGTAGGACATCCACAACCGCAACTGTAGCTGTAGGTTTCTAGAACCACAAACCCATTAACAGATTTCCCACCAGGAACGCCCTGATTTTACAGGCACGGCTGCGTTACTGTACTCGTAAAGGGCTCTCAAACCTTGGGCTTCTAATTCTTGCCTTTCGAAATACGGTAATTAATTATAAGACGCCTTGGGAGAAAAGCAACACCCTGTGGGAAGTTCATCTTTGCATTTCAAAAGGCTCGGTGAGGAACAGCCAAGAATCACGGAATGGTTTGGGCTGGAAGGGGCCTTAAGGATCACCCAGTTCCAGCGCCCTGCCTCCAACACTGAACACAATAACAACCTTATTCCAAAGACCATTCAGACCCACAAAGTTTTCCTTCGGCCCTTGACCCTGGGGTATAACACTGACTCGCAGATCCTCGGTCTCGGCAGAGCTGCCCGCGGTCCAGGCAGGGACCGGGGCAAAGTTAAGGTCACCCCCAGAGCAAAGTTAAGGTCACCCCCAGCTCGCCAACAAAACACCCGGCAGGAAAAAACCCACCCTAAACCTGCGGATACCGATGGGACCCGCCTGACGCGCTGCCCGGGCTCCGAGCCAGCTCCTGCCCCGCGAACTCCCCGCACACACCCGCCTCCCCCGAGCGCCAGCCCCGCACAGCTCCGGGAGCCGCCGGGGGCGGGCAGGGACGGCGCGGACCCAGCGCCGTTCCCGGTGCCGCTGCCAGGGCTGCCTTCCCCCCGCGGTGCATCACCTCAGGGACGGCGGGGCCGGTGCCTTCCCCTCCTCCGCGTGTTCCGCTCCGCTCTTCCCGGTCCCCTTCCCGGTCCCCTTCCCGCCTCCTCCCGCCGGGAGCTCTTCCCGGTCCCCTTCCCGCCTCCTCCCGCCGGGGCCTCTTCCCGGGGCTTGAACACGTCACGGCGCAGGGGGCGGGGCGAGCGGCGGCACCGCCCATTGGCTGAGGAGGCGGCTTCGCGTGGGAGGGGCGGGGCGGGGGGCGCGGCACGTGAGGCGCACGTGGGGGGAGCGCCCCCCCCCCATTCCCTCAGCCCCCCCCCCCCCATCCCCTCAGGGATCGCCGCCTTCTCCCGGAGATCTGAGGCGGGGGGGGGGGAATAATGCGCCAAGAAATGGGGCGACCCACCCTCAAGGCTGGCAAATGTTCGAAAGGAGGGACAAGAGTCAGAGGGTCCGCAAACGGTCAGAAAGTTTTATTGGTGAATTATACACTTGGCGTGGAAATTGGTCTGTTGGCCCCTGAGCTGCTATGCAAGCACACGGCAGTGGGTTCCGGATAAAGGGTAGGGTGAGAGGTAAGAGAGAGAGGAAGAGATTAATTGAAGAGGAAGGAAAGGGAGGAAGAAGGGAAAGGAAGGAAGGAAAGGGAGGACAGAAGGGAGGAAAGGAAGGAAGGAAAGAAAAAGAGATCACCAGTCCTGGTTCCAGTGACAATCCAGCTGAGGGAATGTCAGTCAGTCCTAGTTCCAGCAAGTCAATCCAGTTGATGGGATGTCAGTCCCAGTTCCAGATGTTGATCTGGCTGTGTCAGTCCAGCCGATGGGACCAACTGGGATGTGGGACAGCTGTGCCCACCCAGCCCAAGCCTGGGCTCAGTCACCCCTACGGGCAGTGTCTGCCCTTGCCCTCAGGCTCCCCTGCTCCCCACACCCTGGCACAAGGAGAATGTATTTCAAGGCCCTGGGAGGACACCTCAGCCAAGGCTGGCGGGGCCCGACTATGTTATCTGTGCTCGTCCTTCAGCGGTAACACAAGGGTTGCTCAACAAGTGCTTCCCTCAGCACCCGGGCTCAAAGGGTCCTCCCCAGGGAGGTTCTTCCAAATGGGAGCCAGGGTAGGTATTTTTACAGGGAAGTAGAAGTGGAGCGTCCCCCAACTTCAACAGCACCCCCAGTCCCCCAAGAAGCGGGAATTTGTGGCAAGGGAGTGCTCCCCCTCACAAGGGTTACCCTGGGGAGTGGGAGCTGCAGCTCGTGCGTTTGGGAGAGCCAAGCAGGGGCCTGGCTGGACAGTTGTCCCTCCAGTCTCAGACGTGCTCTGGAGGGCCAAAAACTGTGTGAAAGGTTGGGGTTTGTCCCTCGCTTTCCCTCTGTCTCCTCAGACAGACACAGGCTCGTGACGGGCAGTGAGTCACAGAACACGTCACCAGCAAACAAACTCTAGTAACCTCCCGGGAGCTGCATTTCACGCTGCAAATGGGAAAGTTTTCCTAAAGACAGGAGAACTAAGGCACTAATCTCCTACTCCAAGTACACATCTCTCCTCCTCCTCATGATTTCAGGGCTGTGCTGTGCACAATTTGTTCCCAGGTGCACCTTGAAAGGTCATCCCAAACGGAGGTACAAAGCTGCAATGGGGTATTAAAACATTTCTGTTGCATTTCATCTTATCAGACCAATTATTATATTGTTTTGACCAACATGCACCCAAGACACTTTTAAATCTGTAACAGCTGGAACTTTCAGAAGTTGTTTTATACCATCTCTTGGGATTCTAAGTAGAGCCACTGAATGAAAAAGTCTGAACCTGATTTAGTTTGCAATGTGTGTTCGCACTATTATCCCATCACCCATCTTTCGTGCTGCTTAATAGGAAAACTTGTAAAAATTAAAAGAACCCTATAATTGCCGAAATGCAAATAGCTTCATGGGTGGCAGCAGCAGGAATGTTCACATAAACCTGTCCCTGTTCTTAAGAAGTCAACTTTAACACAGTGCTGCTTAGAGATACTGTTGGGTCAGGCTGTACGTGACTACTGGTGCCCTTATGACAAAAATGCTGTGCCAGCTATTTACAGTGACGTGGCTTGGGTTCCAGCATCAGCTGGGGAGCAAGTGGGAAAGCAAAAAAAAAAAAAAAACAAACCCAAAACCCCAAATCCCCATGTGCAAAAGTTTCCTGAAGTTCAACAAATTGGTGACGCTGTTTTATCCAGTGAGTACAAGCCTAACTCTGTGTGGCAGGAAAAGGAGAAAGACAAGTGCAGCTACCCTTCAGAGCGGGTTTGCTTTGCTCATTTTGCTGTAAGGAGGCTGTGGAGAGGGGCCACCAGATTTGACCAGCACCTCTTGACCAGGCCAAAGCAGCGCAGGGTGACGGGCACTGAGCTCCCTCCCTGGTCTCTGGGTTTTTCCCTGGCAGAGCTGTTCCACCACCCACCTTCCCTTCTCTTTAGAGGCTGTTTACCTGCAGCTCACTGAGGCTGAAAAGCAAAGTGGCTGCTCTCCTTACCCTCCTTCCCAGTATTTACAGGAGCAACTGCCACCTCTGCTTCCTGCCACTCATGCCCATCATCTGCTGTTGTCTTCCCTGGTCCAAATTGTTGCCCTGTTTCATCAGCTGCATCATTTACCCTGCTTGTCACCAGGGTGCTTGTAATCTTGATTTTCTGGAGTGTTGTACATTAATCCTACGAGTTGTGTTGCTCAACGATTGCCCAACCACAGCTGTTCCTGAGCACTCCTGGCTGAATCACCACGTGGTCGTTCCCATTGTTGACGTGGGAATGTGTGGGAATCTGACACCCCAATTTTTGTCTCAACTTCACTGGGCTTTCAACCTTCCCAGTGCCAGGCAACAATGTGACTTCGGGAGTGCTGCTTTCCCCCCCCTCCTTTCTTTCTTTCCCTCTTTCTTTCTTTGGAAAACGCTCTTTTTCACACAATCTTTGTGTGATTTTTGAGGCTGCCCTGTGCAGGACCAGGAGTTTTCACAATGATCCTCGTGGGTTCCTTCC